TCTAGTGGTTCGTAGACATCACTGGTAAGATGACGCAGAATTACATTTAGATCCCAGGCTGGAGCTCTGAATTTCTTTTACTGGTCCTCCAGCTTAAAAGATCTCAGCAGAGTAAGTTCTGGTACTTTCGTCAACTTGATGCCTGTTTTCATCGTAATCACTGTACTGATTGCAGCGAGGTATGTAGATAGTGTCAAACCCTTCAGATGTCTGGTCTGTCTAAGATGACATAGATATTCTGCCACTTGAGGATGAGTGGCTATCATCGCAGTGAAGCCTTTCCGCCTTGCATAAGTATCAAACTTCAGCCATTTGTCGTCATATAGGTTACGAGTCGATCTGCGTAACGCTAGCGTTACTGCCTTGGCTGCCCTGGCGGAGTATCCTCTTTTCTTCAAGCATGTTTCGATATGGTCCACACGTGTAACTGGAACACTGTCGGGTTTCCGTGGACTTGCTTGGTGTGCGGATGTATTAGTAGGTTCGGCCAATCTGGTAATGTGATTACTCGGTTTCCGAGATCTTCTATTAGGTCTGGGAACCATGCTCTCGCTGGCCAGTAGGGTGCGACCAAAGTCAGTTGTAGCATCTGAGTCTGTATGATCTTGAACAGTACTTTTAGCAGTAGTATCGGGGGTGGAAAAGTGTAGCCGTTTAATCCTTCCCACGAGATGCTCAGTGCATCTGTTGCCCAGGCTTGAGGATTTGGAACTGGCGAGACAAACGTCTGTAGTTGTTAGTTGAACCTCGTGGCAAACAGGTCTACGCAAGGGGATCCTATCTCCCTTATGTTCTGAAACGCTTCTGGATGGAGCATCCATTCCGTAGGTGACGGGTGTAGTGGTCTTGAGAGAGCGTCTGCCAGTACGTTCTTGGCTCCGGGTATGTGACACGCCTTTATCCAGATGTTTCCTTCCTGTGTGATCTGGAACAACTGGAATGTGAGCTGCAATAGGCTTGGAGACCTTGTGGGTCCTTGCCTGTTTATGGAGGACGCCACTGTGGAGTTGTCCGTGTGGATCATCAGCATTTTGTTGTTCAGCAAGCTCGACCATAGTTGTAAGGCGTTGATCACTGCTTTCATCTCTAGCAGATTGATGTGAAGCTGTTCTATTTTGGACTTTCCCAACACCACCTGATCGTTGAGATGCGCACCCCATCCTTGCATCGAGGCGTCTGCGTAGAGATGTGTGTTGAAGGCCGGCTCTTGTAAATAGGTCCCTTCTCAAACGTTCGACCTGTGTGTCCACCACAGTAGACACCTCTTGAGGTTTTCCGGCAGCAAGATAGGGTCGACACTGTCTAAATGTATTATCAGAAACCGTTGCAGCGGTCTTAGTTGTAACCTTCCTGTGCGAGTCAAGTCTTGCGCCGAGGTTAGCAGACCGAGTAGAACTTGCCATGATCGTAGTGTTAATGGAGAGACGACTGCTGGCTGAATCATGGCTTGTATCTTGTCCCAACGATCTTCTGGGACGGCAATATGATTCTGTGTTGTGATAAACCTTATCCCCAGGAATTGTAGATCTTGTTTTGGTTCCAACTCTGACTTCATAGGGTTCACCAACCATCCTAGTTGAGTGAGCAACTTGATTGTGAAGTTCAGTTGTAGTTTGAGTAGACTGGCATCTTGGTGAATCTGAATCCCGTCGTTCAAGTAGAAGGCATTGCGTAGACCTCGATAATGTAGGTATGCGACTATAGGCTTGGTTATTCGTGTGAATAGCCACGGAGCCGAACGGTAGGACGTTCCATTGGAAGTGCTGCCCTCTGAATAGGAATCGTAGATACTTTCTTTATTCCTGATGTATCGGGATGTGAAGGTCTATGCAAGTCTATGCTGGCCATGTAATCTGCTGGACGGATGAGTAGTTTGAGTTGAGGTAGGTGGATCATTCTGAACCTCTCTGGTTTCAGTAAGTAGTCTTTGTTGAATTTGCGAATGTTGTAAATCAGTCTGAACTTCTCCTTGGAGTTCTTCTTGGGTACTAGAAAAATTGGGGAATAGAAGCCTGGAGTGAGATGATTCTGATCTATTATCTCTACAGCATCTTTTATCAGTACTGCGTTGATGGCTTCTTGTAATTTGTCTGCCTGTTCCTCTGCATAGTTGAAGACCATTGGGCTGAGGGTTAGTGCAGGTGTGGCTCTTAGTTGTACTTTGTATCCTTCTCTTAGTACTTGAGAGACATAGTCGTCCTCTAGCATTCCCTAATTCTTTCAGTACTCTTGTAGACGTCCACCCACTGTTGATAGTTTTACAGGAATGGCTGGGGGTGGAAGACTTCTGTCGTTCCGAACCCTGATATTAACGTCTTGTGCCTCTGGAAGCTCTGGGGCTGTGGCCTCTCCCTGAGTTTCCTCTGTAATTTCCGGATTGGCGACGAAAAGAGTCTTTGACGCCTCTGAAGCTGGAATTCTTGTCCTTTGCTTTCTGTATTCCAGAATACTTGGACTTGTTGACGTTGGCCAGAGTATCTATGGTTTTAATCATCATCACTTCTCTGGTATCATGCGTAGCTTCCTTAGCTGCATCGTCTATTAGACCAAATATAGTAGGCGCCTCCCATGGAGCTCTTAATAGTGGTTGGGTGAATCTATCATTCCAAGAGCAGGACGCCAGTAGTCCCTGTCTGCGTACTAAGGTGAGTCCCGCAGATATTGATGTGAGATGGTCCGACAAAAAGTATTGATCCTTCTTTTGTGTAACGAGGGCTGAGTATATCATCTTAACCTCTTCCGAAGTTGAATTCTGGAATTTATTTATCAATGCTTCATTGATGGCTCTGGACCTGGCCAACCGGAAGAAGGATCTCCTAGAAGCAGTATCAAGTTGAGATAGCTTTTTGTCTTCCACTTTATACATCTTATTCCGGGAGTCATTCACAAGTCTGATGTTATCATCCCAATTAGGCGCCTTCATAAATGGATCCATATGGTGTAGGGAAATCTCTTCTTATTAAATGATGGTAGTTGCTGACTCTGATACTTGGAAGCCTTCGCGAAAGCTATGTGTAGGTTGGAGGATACGTTGGATATAGGTTCAATAGCAATCCATGCTGTAACTTCTGAGTCTGGGAAGACGAAGCCCGTTTGCAAGTCCGAAGTCTCCTGATTATGAAAGCTAGGTCTCAACAATTCATCCATCTGCGAAACTGATTCCCTTCTCGAACCTTCATCCTCGTTTCGCGAACCTCTATCTGAAGATTCCTCCCTATGCGAACGTCTATCTTGAGAGTGTTCTGTCCACGAACCTCTATCTGTGGATACATCTCATCGCGAACCTCTGTGAGGTGAGCTATCTCTTCACGAACGTCTATCGTAAGGCGAACTCCCGTGATGTGAGTCTTCTCTTTGCGAACCTCTGGCTTGAGGTGAGTAGCTTCGTGAACGTCTGTGCAAGATAAGAGATCTCGACCTAGAGCGGCTAGGTGTAGGAGCAGGATCCTTTGATGTTCTCGAACGTTGAGGGTTCGCAGACGTAGATTTGAGAGTAGGTAAGTCATCTCTTCTATCCTCCAAGATGACAGAGTTGTCCGACTGTGGAGACCTTCGCAAAGGTGTACGTTCGCCACCGTAGCCTTGAGGTGTAGATCTAAGAGGAGTAGATTCGGGCAGGCCCGTGAGTTCGCACAGGTCCGTAGGTTTGCGCACGGTGTTGGTAGATGAGAGGCTTTTTTTAGCCTTCGATCCTCCTGGAATCTACGTTACATCATGGCCATCATCTGGTTGGTGAATTGAGTCATAAATTCCCCTGGGTCGAAGTTCTGCATAGGTTGACGCTGCTGCAGTGTAGATGAAGCGTTCGCGAACGCTGATCGGTTATGTGCCTCAACTTCAATCCAAGAAGTAAGAGGTAGTACGTCGAACAACTGTCCTGCTGAGACTGTAGTAGGGGACGATCTTGTAGTAGTAAAGGTCGACTGAGTCGCTGATCTCATAGATACTTCAGGTAGAAGTAATGGGGGTTTGTGAGGAGGTACAATCTCTTCGTTGAAGGATTTCTGATGCGTAGATGAGCTAGCACGCGTAGCTTTGCCCTCCGATCTGGTAACAGTAGACATCTTCTGCGCTGTAGAAGAGGATGACCTTCCTGGCCCCCTTACCAGCGGACTGCCCCTGTAACGTACTAAACATAGCACCAGTATTATGAACTCCGGCTGTAGCAAGCAGCATACGGTTTGGAGGCTGATCTGGAGTTTTATCAATCGTGACTTGAGATGACTCACCGATCCATGGCACGTCTATAAATATATGACAAATATTGATTAAATTGAAGATTTGATAAATCAATACAATAAGTACAGCGCAAGCTGGAGGAACATGCATTTATGCACGAAGGACATTGGGGGTGAGAATCAGCCACAGATAACCTGTGCCTGCAAACACCACAGGATTTCATGAAATGTATACAACGTTACATGACGATGAAAACATGACTCAAAGTCAATAAATTTTAACAAATGTTTACAAATACTACATAGTAGTTATAGCCAAATCCATATACAGCGTAATTTTGAAGAATAGGCCTAAATAAAAAGGATATGATGCCGTATACGGGACTCCAGTGCTCGCCCAACCATCCGCTTGAGCGAAAAGGGAGAGAGTGACAAGTATGGGCACGTCACATGACTGGTTTGAGCAGGAAAGGGCAAAGGGAGGTAACTCGTGGGTGAGTGTAGTTATACGTCCGCTTCAGGAACTTCAAGGGATTCAAGTGTTCCACTACCATTCGAAAGGGAAAGGGGGGATAAGCAAAAGATCATGAGTCAGGATAAGGAAAAATAACTAGTCATGTGAAAGGTTAAAGTCAATGTGTCGACATTTGCCACAGTTATAAAGGAGACACTGTGATATGATTATGGTCTAACAGCAAGTGTGGTGCCTGAGGCAACCTTGAAGTGGCAGCATAACAAAATATTATTAATAAATGCTAATCTTTGAGATACCTTATACGATACTTCAGCTAAGATAACATGGATATAATAAAGTAGAAGTACCCAATCTTTGTGTTGGATTCTGCTCTATTAGCATCAACTGTCCATAATGCTAACTTGTCCCCCTTTGCCTCGAATGTTAACCACTGCTCCACATACATCATCACTTTGTTCATCAAAGGCCTCCCCAATCAAACACAGTAACTGCAAAAAAGAAACAAGTGCTTCAAGTTATCATGAAATTATATTTTTTAATGTCTTAGGCAGAAAAGAATTTCTTAAAATAATAGTCAAACCAAATCTCCTAAATTCCAAATGTGTTGACTTGGCAATGGTAATAACTTATATTTTGATTTTTTTTTAAACTAACCTGTGCGAGTCACACTTGTTTTCTAAAATGATATTGTTTGTCAATTCATGTTCAGTCAACAAACACATCCATGTTCAGTTTTACCTACATTATCCCACACAGATCCTATTGTATCAATATATTGGAAAATTGTTTGAAACAATAATGACAAATGGGCTGTCTAAAACATCTAACCATAAAATGTAAATATAAAATCAAAACATTCACTTTCTGCAATGACGACTACAATTTGCTAGTATCAAGTGGTGTGACTGATTAACTTACTGTTTCAAGCCAAAAGTTATCAAGATCTGTATGCCTCTGTTGTTTGTTGAGACTAATGAGCCAGCGGCCACCGTTCTTATTGCGAGAATCTTCCCATGCCGGCTGTATTCCTTCCTGTTAATATAAGAGACATACCTCAGTTTTCACATGTAGTTCCATCATCTAACACCAGTGCCATTGCACTATAGCTCAGCCGGATACATAGCAAACGGTTCACCTCAAAGACAGACACTTAACCAAAGTTGCTATCACCATTGATATTCAAATATTTTCTGCATGAATACTAATAACAAACACTAAAACAAAACAACTGCACAACATATGATGACACAAAAAGGAAAAACATGCTATGAAGTTATCTTTAAATTAAGACAATTTGTGATGGTAAAAAAAGCAAATGTGAGGATTTAAAATATTGTGCCATCACCAGAACTTATCCCACAACTAGCTGAAAATAAATCAGGTTTTGTCCTAAATAAGTTCATGTGACAACCAAAAATGTAATTTTTAGAGTAAAATTGATATTTTATACTTATCCTGACTCATGCTCTTTTGCTTGTCTTCTTCTTCTTGCGAACACAGTGGAACACTTGTATCTCCTTATTTGAAGCTCCCTTCAAAATAAAATCACTAATTGGTACTCACCACGAGTTGCTCCCCTTTATTTCCCCTGGCGGGAAAGGCGTCGCCACCCTCTGGCCATGTGCTCCACTCTCTCCTGATTTAGCGAGCCCAACACTTGAATTTACAGGGAAATCCAAAGTGTTATGTGGGGAGGATGGGAGGGCTAACCTCATGAGTCAGGATAAGTATAAAATATCAATTTTACTCTAAAAATTACATATTTTTCCTTATCCTGACTCATGCTCTTTGCTTGTAGCATCCTAATGGAACGGAGGTGGGTAACAGAATACTTTGGATTTATAATTAGTGATTTTGTATAGATATACTGTAATATCCCCTACGGGAACTTCATGAAGGCTTAGATTTAGGATGTTTCCTGTATAAAGAAAACCATAGGTTATATAAAGCCATTAAAGGGAATTACATTATGAATATATTGAACAATACATATAAATTATATATATATATATAGGTGACTCTGATAGAGGCACTGAAATTGACTATACCAAAGTATATGCTTAAGGTTGAATACTTAAGCTGAACATATATACATAGCCCTAAAACTCCGTAGAGTTATAAGCTAGATGAGTATGTATAAAATACATATTAATCTTGTGAGGATAATATTTTAACGCCTACGAGGGACTGTCAGTTGCTGAGCGAGGACCAGTGGTCCGAAATGGTGAATGCCAGAGACATCTTCTGTAGTGATGTCTCTCAGGTAGTGATTAGCAAATACCATGTTAGATTTCCAATAGCATCCTTCCATAATCGTGTTCAAGGAACAGTTACCGTGTAGGGCGAGGGTAGAGGCCAGTGCCCTGATCTCATGTGGATTTGATGCTGTTGGTGGGTCCAAGCCTGCTGCCTTGTAGGCACGGAGAATGACAGTCCTTATCCAAATAGATATTGTGGTCCGTGACACTTCTGTTTGATTCATAGGCGATAAGGGGATGAATAAACGTTTGAGAAATCTTCTCCTTGTTTTGGATCGTCGTAAATAAACTTTGAGCGCTCTTACCGGACACAGTGATAGGTCTTGTGTATCTTCTGATCCGAGAATAGAGGATAGCGCCGGGATGTGGAATAATCTGTCTGGTTGACCTGGCAGTTGATTTTTTTGCGATGAAATCCCATCTTAATCCGAGGTGCGCTGTGTTATGATTGTCATCAAACTGTATCCTCTCGTAATCCAGAGCGTGAATTTCAGACATTCTTGCTGCTGTGGCTAGCGATAGCAGAAACAGTGTTTTCTGTGAGAGAAATTCAAAGTTTGTCGATTCCAAAGGTTCATAGACCTCACTCGTGAGGTGTTGTAACACTACATTCAGATCCCAAGCTGGGGCGTGGAACTTCCGCTTTTGGTCCTCCAATCGGAAAGCTCGTAGTAAGGCCAGTAACTCTGGAGATCTTGTCAATTTGACACCCGTTCTCATGGTGATTACAGAACTTGCGGCAAGATATGTTGATATCGTTGAACCTTTTAAATGTTTGTTTTGGCGTAGGTAACACAAATAGTCTGCCACTTGAGGTTGTGAAGCCTCTCTTGCTGTAAACCCTTTCTTTGTTGCATAATTTTCGAAACTGTGCCACTTGTCGTCGTACAAGCACGACGAGTTGAGTAACGTAAAGGCAAGCGTGACTGCTTTTGCCGCCCTGGCAGAATATCCTCTCTTGTTTAAACACATTTGTATACAGTCCATACGTGTAGTTGGAACATTGCTGGGTTTCCGTGCACTTGTTTGGTGTGAGGATGAATTAACAGGTTTTTGCCGCTTGGGTAGCTCCAGTGTTGGTTGACCGATTTCTTGAATTAGTATGGGAAACCACGTTCTGGCCGGCCAGTAGGGCTGCACCAAAGTGAGTTGTAGGCTCTGTGTTTGTCTGATTTTCTGTAATACTTGAGGTATTATTGCTGGCGGCGAAACGCTGCGACGCATTGAGGCCTTCCCATGATAGACTTAGAGTCCGTTGCTTGCCCAAGCTTGGGGGTCTGGGACTGGTGACACGAATGTCGGTAGCTGATTGTTGAATCGCGTGGCGAATAGGTCTATTAGCGGCGCTGCTAATTGCTTGATTATCTGTGCAAAAATTTCCCTGTTGATCATCCACTCTGTCGGTGATGGTAGATGAGGCCGAGAGAGAGCGTCTGCTAGTATATTTCTGGCTCCGGGAATGTGCACTGCTCTGACATGTAGATTTAGATCTTGTATTAAATCGAACAGTTGAAAGCTTAGGTTCAAAAGGTTCATCGATCTCGTTTGGCCTTGCTTGTTTATGTAGAACGCCACTGTCGAATTGTCTGTATGGATCATTAGGCGCGCATTTTGTAGAAATGTGCTCCAATGTAGAATGGCGTTGATTACAGCTTTCATTTCTAGACTGTTTATATGGAGTTTGCATTCTTGCTGATTCCATAACCCTGATATCGTGTGGTTGGTGAGATGAGCTCCCCAACCTTGGAGTGACGCGCCTACATACAGATGGGTTTTGTATTCCTGCTCTGCTAAACAAATCCCTTCGCAGACATTCGATTTCTTGGTCCACCATAGTAGATGCGGTCTGAGATGTTTCGTAGACTGAATGGTTGTACATCGCTGAGATGTGCGTTGATGAGGACCTGTAGGGGACGAACTGTAATCTGCCTGTGACAGTCATGTCTTGGGCTGATGTGAGAAGACCTAGTAGGCTCTGCCATTGTCGCAGTGGTAACGGAGAGAGTAGAGCTGGTGGAATGGTCTGCTGTATCTTGAGCCAACGGTCTTCTGGTACCATAATACGGTTGCGATTTGTGATGAATCAAACCTAGGAACTGCAGGTCTTGCGATGGTACTAGGTCCGACTTTTGCGTAAGTTTACTAACCAACCTAGTTGTGTTAGTAGCCTTATGATGTAATTTAACTGTAGTTTGAGACGCAGTGGATCTTGATCTACTTGTATCCCGTCGTCGAGGTAAAAGCGACACTCGCGTAGCCCTTGACGATGTAGAAATTTGATAATCGGTTTCGTTATCCTCGTGAATAGCCAGGGGCTGATGATATTCAATGGGAGTACTTTCCACTGGTAATGTAGCCCTTCTAGAGTAAATCGTAGGTATTTCCTGGAATCGGGATGAATGGGGATGTGCAGGTAGGCATCCTGTAGATCTATGCTGCCCATGTAGTCCATAGGATCTAATCATCTGGCGTAACTGAGGTAAATGTATCATGAAACTTCGTGGTTTGTGTAGATAGTTCTTGTTGAAAAGCTCATGTTGTAGATGAGTCTGTATTTCTCCGTGGAGTTTTTCTTGGGAACTAGGAAAACTGGGGAGTAGAAACCTGGTTCGACGCTTGCTTGATCTATTACTTCTATGGCCTGTTTGGATAGGAGTGATGAAACAGCCTCTCTTATCTTTGGTAGTTGTTGCTTTGTAAATCGAACTTGGGGGTTTGATTGTCAGCGGAGGCTTGGCCTGTAGAGGGATACGAATCCGTGTTGAAGAATGTTGGAGACGTAAGGGTCTTGCAATATTCCCCAGTTTTCCCAGTGTAGTTGGAGGCGCCCACCCACTTGAGCTGGCTGTACTGGAACGGCTGGGGTGGAAGACTCCAGTCGCTACTTAACCTGTGTTTCAGCGCCTATAATTGCGGGAACCTCTGGGTGTCCTGCCTCTTCCTGATCCTCCTCTATAGTTGCCATATGGGCTTAACCTAAAAGAATCTTTACCTCTAGAGCTGGCTATCTTCCTGTCTCTTGCTCTTTGTAGGCCCGTGAACTTAGATCTGCCTGAGTATCTTTGTGAAGTCTGGACGAATGACGCTGGCTAGTGTGTCCATCGATCTAATCATAAGGACTTCCCTGGAATCCTTAGAGACTTCCTTGGCGACTTTTGTCGATTTCTCCGTCAAAGATGGATGTTGTCGACCACGGGCTGTATAAAGTGGGGCTGTAAAGTTCTCCCCAATTACAGGAGGCGAGGAGGCCTTGACGACGAGCTAAGGTCAGTGCTGCTGAAACAGATGTAAGATGATCCGCTTAAAACTGCTGATCTTTCTTTTGCATAAGTAAGGCAGAATAAATCATTCTATCATCTTCCGTCGTGGAATCCCGGAATCTAGTAATAAGAGTCTCATTGATCGCCCTAGATCTATTTAACCCAAAGAACATACGTCTGCGTCATGGTTTCTATATGAGCCAACTTGCGATCATCCATCTTGTAAATCTTGTTCTTTACATCGCTGATGATCTTATAGTTCTCATCGATGTCCTGGGCCTTGTAGAAGGAGTCCATGTTATGCGTGGAGAACTTCTTGGCTTGAAAGTTGGGCAGATGTGGTATCTGAACTTTCGTAGCTTTCTGGAAAGCTGCATCTAGATTCTGTGGCACTGCCGCAATCGGGTCGATCGGGGGTAGAGTGATTGCATCTGGATCATCTTCCTTCATCAAATACGCCTGCGCTGTATTGCCACTTTTAGATGGTGATGTGAGATCTAGGTTATTGACCATC